GTCCTTGCTGCTTAATGTTTAATGTCCTCTAAGCTGTGGTTTCAATTTGATCTCCTAGTCTCAGTGTATTTTAAGGCTGCATCGTTTTAACACATTGAATAGTCTTTCATTTTAAAGGATTCATTTCTTTTTTTTAATTTTAGACTGCATTTAGGTGACTGAAAGAATTCAGCAAATCTTTACATTATTGCTGAGACCTCCTTCCGTCAAAGTGCTGACAACAATAAACTTTAAATTCTTTAGTCCAATAAAATTAATTGTTTTGATTGCTGATTTTCTCAATAAAAAAGCACATTTCAGTCTCTAAGATAAATCCATAAATTGATCAACGTTCTGACAAATCTGACATCATATTTGTACACTAGCATGCAACAAGTGAAGTCAATCATTTTTTATGCTTTAAGTTGCAACATCAACAAGGAAGTGACCAAAGGCCAAACCCAAGGTCTTTCATTTGGGCCGACCCCTGTTGTTAACATATAATGATCCAAGGCACTTGTGCTATTTTTATCTTTTCTGGGTCTATAAATAGGCCTTAAACAATGTGCCGCCTGACACAACCATGGGTGACACAAATACCAATAAAAGGCTACATCTTTCTCAAGGGTTGTTCACAAACAGCTTATTCATTACCAAATATAGAGCAACAATTCACCCCCACAGTGACGAAAGCTAAACGAAGCAACACTAACTGTGGCAATAAACACTCAAATGCAATATCCAAATTAGAAAACATTGAAATGAGGACAATTGACTGTTCCACAGAGATGTTATAATGCAATAATGCTCACCTGATTTTCCTTTGGTTTATTTATCTAGTGTGAATCTTTAAAGCTCACACTGAGTATTTCTGTTGCAAAAGGCAATTGGCACACATTTATAATTTAAATTGTGACGAATTAATTTTTACACAGTTAACATGAAGCTGTACAGGTCTGTTCTTGCCTAAATTTGATCTAAAATATAAACTGTTTGCATTAAGTTAGGTTAAAAAGTAGAATTATTCTGTGCAGCTATAAATGCACGTTGGTTGTAAGACCTTTACAAACAAGTTTACTCTTCTGCAGCAGTTCCAAACCAGGGGGGAGCACCGGAGAGTAACCTTGTCTGCTCAGAGGTTATGAAAGCATCAATTTATTATAGTTTAATTGTAAAAATCACTAAAACAAGCCTTTATATTTGAAACTCTGGATAACTTGTGGCATCCTCTCCTCAATGGCTGGCAGCTGATTGATCTCAACTCTTCCTTTTCACTTTGATGACTCTTGGGCCTTCATGAGACTCTCGCTGTTCATGGCTACTATTGGTATTTATACCCAAGTAATCTTGAACATGTTATTCCTATCCTCCTAGTGTGTCCCCAAAGCTCCTGGAAGAGTCCTTGTATTTACTGAGTCAGTCCCCCTGGAGAACACTGATCTGCCTGACAGCTGTCATGCCTTGCCTGGAAATCAAATTCATCTGCTGCCCGTCTCCACCTGGGAACCAAAACTCGCCCATTTCTTTCCTTAGTCGCCATTTTGGAAATCTTGTTCACCTTCCTTTTACACCACCCCTTCCTCCAGTACCCTGTAAGCAAGCAATTCATCTGCAAATCCTGTTCACCTCCCAGGCCAGATTCTGACCTTCTTACTTTTGCTTCCATAGCTCCAGAGACGCACCTGTACACAATGTAAATAAACTTTTTCTATTTGCAAACTATTCACCTTATTCTTTTATTATTTTGACAAAAAAATAAAAGTTGAACATGACTTTGAGGGAGAGGAGTAGGAATGGATTGTAATGGAGGGGGGAGGGTCAAGACATGGGGGAATTTCAGGAAAATAGGTACCACTGCTCTACTGGGAAAATATTCTGAATATTAAAAAAAGTTTATTTTACCTAAAATAAAATTGTAATGGAGGGGGGAGGGTCAAGACATGGGGGAATTTCAGGAAAATAGGTACTACTGCTCTACTGGGAAAATATTCTGAATATRAAAAAAAGTTTATTTTACCTAAAATAAAATTGTAGTGAGTTGTTTCAAAATATTGTAACAAAACAAATTCACTGAAATAACAGTTGGCATGTTTTATTATTATTATTTTTGGTTAATTATTGCCTGTACACTCGTACAGTACATTTTTTTTAAACCTACATATCAACATTGCAGAAAACAAAGGGTGTATTGAAGGACGTTTAATGTGTTTCCAAAAATCCCACCAAATTACATCAGTGGGAGCAGAGATCAAACAAATTGGTGACATATTCCATGCAATGAGCCAGGGACTTTCTGTCTGCTAAGTTAACAAATAGATAAAAGTTTTAACTGCACTCAAGATATTAAAATCTCAACCAGGCACTTCTATGATTTTTCACTTGCCTCAATACCAAAGTACTTTTCAAACACAGTTTATTAGGAAAAATAAAATCAGGTGTTGATGAAACATCTGTTCATCTGATTTAACTCCAAAACACGCAGTTCTCTCAAACTGTCTCACACACACATTCAGTAACAAGGAAAGTACCATTCCTATTGCCTCAGTGAAAGTTGTTACTGATTAATCTGTTGCTAAAATTACACTCTTTTTTTTTACAAATATTTCAATAAAAGTTTCTCGAGAATGAGAGGGCTATCAGATTAGCAAGTACCTTCCTTTCTTCAGTCAAAGTTTATGATTAAAAGCAAAATGAATTCCTAATGTGCAAGTTCACCTTTATGCTACTGTTTATTTAGGCTACTTTATTCTTTAGCGTTTTGACTAAAAGTCAATCTGTACTGGAAGTCAACTGCATGAACCAGTAGCATCTTAGAAATTCAGACAGATGTTCAAATTTGGTTTTAGTTCTTCTGTTTCACAGATTACACTTACTGTATCCTTCATATTAATTTTTTTACTTAAGCATTTCAGTCAGAGTTCAGATTTAGAACACACATAATAGGTTATTTCCAAGCACTTCACAAGTCCTAAAAGTGCTTAGAAAATAATACTTTCAAATCTTTATTTAACCAGGCAAATCACATTGAGATCACTGATCTCTTTTGCAAGAGGTCTGCACCTGAAGGAAATGTAGCATGCAGGTTTTTTGGTCTGTGGGAGGAAACTGCAAAACRCACACAAGCACAAKATGCAAACTCCACACAGAAAGACCCCAGGTCTGAACCAGGAATCAAACCCTGGACCTTCTTGCTGTAAGGCATCAGTGCTATCCACTGACCCATTGTGCTGCCAAAATCCACTAATCTACAGAATTATTTGTAAAAAAATTGACTGATGTGAAACAAAACAAACAAAGAAAAAAGAAAAAAGAAAGAAAGAAACAAACAAACAAACAAGCAAACAAACAAGCAAACAAAAAATATGTGTGTGTGTGTTTTGGTGTCACAACTGAAATATACTGAACATTTGCATTTAGAAAACATCCACCTGGCAGATTAGAAAGGGAGTTTATTGTAGCAGTACTAGTCTGTCTGCAAGACTGTGTAATTAAAGTTTTACTACTGGGCTTGAAAGCACCTTGGTGTTTTAGTGTGACAATTAAAGCAACATTAGGCTGTAGTAATCATCATAAAACATTCTTCAAAATCACACTAWTAGAAAATGTGTGTGCAAAAAGTTTGCAAAAATGACAAAACTCCTTTGAAAACTGCAGTTTTTTATCCACACAGCAGCAGTTTTCATTTAAAGGAAAAAGAAAACTAAGCAATGGCTCTTTTCTGTCCTAAACTGGTTTCCTACCATTCCTTGTAAGTAGTTGTTTAAATAATTTGGATCGTTCGCGAACGTCACGTACGGAAACCAAGAGCAGACGTTTTTCACATTTTTTTTCCATGTTTTTAAAATTATTTTGTATTGTGTTGTTATGAAAATAACATTGAGCATTTTCTCAAGATAATACGTTAATTTCACAGATGGTTTTCCTCTTGTGCAAGATTTGGTAACCACGGAGACGACTTGGMCCCCTAAGCTGGTCACCGATAAAGTTTACTATTTATTTTATCATTGTTTTCCATTCAAATCCCATTGACATTGCAGATCTCTTTTGCAAGGGCGGCCTGGACCTGAAGACAACCTATTGTACATTAATCMGTGCCATTTTTTGTATCATAACACAGCCTGAAGTTGTGATTTGTTTGTCTTGTACCAATAACTTTCATATCAGCCCTCATCATTTAAGGAGATGGCTGGCCTGACTGTAACTCAGCAGGCGTTTACACTAAAGTGATGCTGCTGATACAGTATAATAAACTTTATCCATGACCAGCTTAGGAGACCAGGCTGTCTCCATGGTTATCGAATGATGCCCAAGAGMAAAACCATAGCTCGCTATCTCAGAAAATTAATTTTTATCTTATGAAAACGCTGATTGTTATTTCATATTAATGACAAAATATGACTGCTTTCTTGTGATAACATGTTATATCATGATAACGACATATTATGTCGCTAMCATGAGAAAACAATGGAAAAATATATATGCAGAAATGTCTGCTCTCGGCTTCCATACATTTCCACTGTTTACCACTAGAATAAGATCCTCAAGTCCCAGTGACTTACAGCAAAATTTATTGGAGGTTTGTGATGATGTCTCACATAGTTTAGATACTAGACAACAACTTCCTCGCAAATTACAAAGTGCACTGTTTTTGTCTTAGCAATGGAGTATAAATGTAAATTTACTACATAGCAGGTTGTAACTACAGCATTTAAGTAATTAGCTWTGGTTTGCTTCTGCTCTTTTCAAACCACCTTGATGTTTTGTTGTGACAGTTAAAGCATCCAACCAAAAGTTCTGAGCTCAGACTAATTGCTAGTTTGACATTTATTTTTACAGKCTGTTTCCTTCTCCACATGCCAGCAGTCAGGTGCACCTTGCCCTATTTCCTGGTTAAAATTAACAACACGTGGTCTGCTTCATCCCGCCCATCTGGAAAATCCAAGCAGATTCTACTTTCCCTATTTAAGGAAGATGTCCTGGGAGGTGTTAGTCAATTTCTGCAAGCGGGTTGCACCTTTTCAGCCTCACACCATCACACAGAGAAAACAGCTGAAGGAGAATGGCAAGCAGCAAAGTTTGTCTGGTGGCAGCTCTGAGCTGCTTCATCTTTMTTACTGTCTTTATCAGCAGCACAGAGTCAGGTGAGTTTATCACATTTCTAACAAGTCTGTTAAAGCTTTTTGTAAATTCATGTTGACTGTCTGCAAGGTGTCCAGTTGTGTTTATTTTAAGCAGAGCAATGTTAGATAATGAGTGACTTAGTTCATAACGTTAGTCATTTATGTCTGCTTTTTGGGTTTTTTTTGTCCACACAGCAAGGTGTTGCTTGGGTTACTCAAGACGCCAACCTAACCCAAAAAGGATTTTGGGCTACCACGTTCAGACCATCACCGGATCCTGCGACATCAGCGCCATTGTGTGAGTTAACAGTTCAACTGTAACTGATACAATTTTAAAATCTCTAAACACAAGTCAACGCAGGAAGCTTTATTAAAAAGAAAGGAAAAAGTAAAGGCTTTGCAATAGATTTACCAAGCTCTAAGGCGTGCTTTACAACCTTAATGTTACAGCTTTCCTCGAAGAGGTTAGGTTACAGTGATTTGTTAGAAAAGAAAAAGGAGAGAGATGCAAGAACACTTTGACTGCCAGCAAAACAGGGAATATTACAAAACAAGTGAGTCAAGTTACAGATATTTTATAACTCGGTGTCCTGTTTGTACTAAAAAGAAGAATCTAAGTAAACTATTGTTGGACATTTCCTAATAGTCAATGCCTGACCTAAAAAAATAGTCAAGACAGAAGCTGGTTCAAGTATCTACTTCAGACTTTTATAGAGAGTTAATTCCTGACTTGCATGAATAAGACCTTATGGATGGAAACTTGAGTGGAGTGAAGATCACACCTGTAATCATTGTCCTATCCACCCACAGCTTCCACCTTCGAGGCGGCTTTGTGTGTGCTGACCCTTCAGTACGTTGGACCCAGAAAACAGTGAGGTTTCTCAAGTGAGTATGTCAATCTCTAAWGCATCAGTTCGAGTTTTGTTTTTACACTCAGAAACTTACTGAAACAACTCCACGTCTTTTGCAGGGAGAGGAAACGGAATGCCCAACGGATCCTGAGTAAAAGACACTCAAACGTCGCCAACMAAACACTGCAGAACAGCTCAGACCTACGAGCTGGAGTCTAATCTGCCACTGAAAACCAGAGAAGTTTCACATTAAAACTTCTCATTCTGTGGCACATATCATATATACCATATGTTTAATGTGGCCTTTCTCTATGTTTTATTCTGTTTCATAAACAGTGCAATGTAGTGTTTTATTACACAATGAGCTGTCCCTAATAATGTTTAAAATAGATTAAAATTATTTTTAAAGAACTATCGAATGCCTTTTTTGTATGCTGATGTTTACCTGCTGATATTTCTGTTTTAAAAGCTATTCAAAAAACATGCTGTATTTAATATGAAGGTTGAAGGTATTGTAAATAACAAATAATTGCCAATAAATTTACTAAACATTTTTTCTTGTGAGTTTCAATTTTTTTTAAGTTGTTTTAGTTCTTCTGTGGAAGTGTGAACTTTTTACTCTGAAGAAAGAGCAAAGGTGAAGTTTTAACAATTGTTTGTTAAACATAAATTGAATGTGTGTGTGCACACGGTTGGTTTTCTTTTCAGTGAGGCCGACCGCCTGTCCAAGAAAGAACCCCTATCTTATTTCTTTGTGGGAATCCAGTGTTCCCAATTAAATTATTTTTCTTCCCTAGCTTGAGTGAAATCACTATTTCTATACTGACACTGTGCTCAGCCGTCAAACCCCATTAAAACTGTTTGTTGAACTGCTCTCTTTGTACATTTTCAACCCTCTGTATTCCTCGAGTTAAAAAGCACACTGTAGTGATGATTATGCTCATAAAAAGAAAAACTTTAATATACACTGGTGATTATAGAGGAAGCATTGGATAACATATTTTTATAAAGATTTATAATAATCCTCCTCACAGTTATGTTTTATGATTTTTGAGGGTCTTTCATGCTAGCTGAAAATTTTGTTCTATATGCTGTATTCATTAATTTGAGAGTTTTAAAGTATAAAGTGTGATCATACCCAAAAGCTGTTTTACAAAATGTTTGGAAGTTTTTTTATATATATGTAGGAAAAGCACATAAAATTTAAAACATTCAATGAAAATTACAWAGAATACTTCCTTTAAGTTCAAGTCAGTATGTTTATACAGCACCAGTTCACAGCAAAAATCTTATTGCAGATTAGTGAAAATTATATATCTAAGGTAGCCAACAGATTGTGATGAATCCTGATTTTGTTGAAATCTCTGAGTGAAAAAAAACAACTCTTCAACAGGAAGAAAACCTCAGCKTATTTTCAGTTGATTGGAAATAATAAGAAAATTGCACCTGGATCTAAAGTATTTCTATTTTTAGCTGCGATTGTTATCCAATCAAAGCCCAAGTAAGATTAGAKAGCAGCCTTGTGTTTATGAATGAAAAGCTTTGCCCCTTGAAAACACGGTCAGGTTCCCAGCATAGTTTGGATCGCTCATTGAATTTAAACAAGATAAAGAAATCATTGTTCTCTTTCCTGGGTGAAAGGCATGTGTGATCTGATCAGATTAGTAAGAAATGAGCTGGGGGAAAAATCATTTTCTGCCATCAGAATAGTTTTTTGCTATGTAAGATGTAACCACTTTGTGTTGACTGACTGCTGTAGCCTGAAGATACAGTCAGTTAAGCAAACGGATTCAACGTTCAGTTTTTCCTACCGTGACGCGGGGTGTTGTTTACACCTCTGTTATTCTGTAACTCCACATTCCAGGACTTGCATCACAGCCTTTTCTTGAGTTGTCATAAACTGCAGTGGACGCTGGCAGTTTTGGCTGTTTATCATTCCTTCTAGGGGTCTTTAATGTTTTTTTTAATGCCTTGCAAATTATTCTTGCCATGCTTGACCATCATTTGCAAGACATTTAAATTAAACATATCTTCAATATTTACTTACACTAAGTGATTGGAAATATTCAGCAAATCTTTAACATTCTTCCAAAATCTTTGCAACAATACTGATAAGAATGTGTTCAGTTGCACTTGCTAGTAAATTATAATGTATCATTGCGACTATTCCTTGAACTTGCAAGATCGTATTTGTGAACTTTTGAAGCAAAGAGTGCATTTCAACATATCAATAGAGTAGATTCTGCAGAGTTCACTGACGTGTTTTACACGCAGCAATGGTTCTGTCTATAAATTTGCATCACCAACAAGGATGTGAAGCTGTTAAAAGGTCTCACGTTCCCCCTCTAGTTAACCTAGATTTATTTAGGCTATGTTTGGACTCTTGAAGTTTAAAAATAAATTTCTAAAAATAGACGCAAGAGTAGCTATAATAAATATGCAAGACCATGTCATTGTCAGGAGTTTGTCCATACCTTATTGTTCATCGACAAGTTTGTAGAAGCTATGCATGGCCTTTATCACATCATGGAAACCGAGAAATGCCAGTTGTACTGTTCTAACTTGAATCACTTTCTGTTTGAACAAAACAAAACGAAAAAAATAAAATGAAATTTAAAAAATTCAGGACATTTTGCACAGAGTATCTAAACGTAAAAAATAAATAAAATCAGTTATCTTGTTTTTGTGCTCTTTTTCATTTGTGGTCATTTTGTGTCTTTGAGGATTTTCCACTGTAACCTTTTGTGTTTTCTCATATGTGTCAAGGTTAGACGAGGAGAAGCAACCCAAATCCGGATGGAGGTAAGAGTTTTAACAAAAATGAGATAATTATTAAAAATAAAACAAAAATGCTGACGGGGCAGCAACTAACAAAAAAACTCTAAAGGCAACAAGGAAACAACAAGGAAAACCAAACAGTTGGATGTGCCAAACAATGATGAACCAGTGAATATGTGAGAACTGATTAAACACAAACTGAGGGAATGAGGAAATGAACAACACCTGGTGAAAAACACTAATTGGGAACTACTGACAGGTGTGTGAACTTGACCGAGGAGGGAAGTGACATCTGAGGCGTAATGATAATGAGGAAGCACAAGAGGGAGGTAGACACAAGACAACAGAAAAACACATATCCTCACAGTATGGATTTTAAAGTGGTCAATTTGTGACATTCTTTTTTGTCTGAGGTTGTTTTCTGTCTGTTCGGTAATGCTGCATCTTTACTCCGTGTCAAACAACTCACTACAGTTTAGCCAAAGGGTTTGAACTATTCTTTTATTTAATTTTCCTGATCTCATAATTAACTCGCATGAAACATTCTGAACAGACAGCATGCCAAACAGTAAACTTGAAACTTTAAAATGAGGACATCTGATATCCCTGCACAGTTGTTGTAATCCAATAACCCTTTTTCGTTTGTGCATTTCTCAGTGTTGATGAAAGTTGTAGCCCACATTTAAAGAGAATTTATTACCACAAACTATTTTCCACACGGGGTGCATGGGAGTTCGCCCAACCTGTCTACATGTGTTTTGTGGACTTGGAGAAGGCGTTCGACCGTGTCCCAAGGGGGGCCTTGTGGGGGGTTCTCCGGGAGTATGGGGTACCGGGCCACTTGGCTGTCAGGTCCTTGTACGACCGGTGTCAGGGTCTGGTTCGCATTGCTGGCAGTAAGTCGGGCTCGTTTCCAGTAAGAGTTGGACTCCGCCAAGGCTGCCC